TCTCTTAAAAAGTTTGAAAAAATCCTAAAAAACGTCATATCTCGATAACCACAAGAATTTGAGCAGCCAAGCATATTCAGAGGCAAGATTCGCAACCCCTGAGACTTGTTTACGGTTGTTAACAACAGGATTGAGATTTTTCAAAGTTTTGGAGTTTTTGAAAATGATCACAAAAAACGTTATATCTCGAAAACTAGAAAAAATTTGAAAAGTTAGATTTGGAGGCAAGACTTCCAACCGCTAAGAGTACCCTGACAGCAGCCAACTACAGGGTGAGAAATTCAAAGATTGAGAAATTTTTTAATTTTCTAGAAAATTTTGAAATATCTCGAAAATTGCCGTATCTCGTAAACTAAAAGGATTTGGTTATTCATATATGGAGGCCAGAAACGCAGAAGCTGGAAAAAACCCTGACAGCATCCCATTACTGGATTGCTAAGTTCAAGCTTGATGAAATAAACACTGAATTTAAACTGGAAAATCGAAAAAAAGTCTTAAACTTTGCAATATACGAAATAATTTAAACGTGCAAAAATTCTTTTGTTGAACATGCAAAAATAATACGTTGAAAAAGCTTAAACATGGCGAGATAGTGAAGCCCGCATTCAAATATAAAATAGAGAAGAACGATACTCCTGAAAACTGTTCACGAAGCTATATCCCAGGAAATGCAATTGCTAAAGAAGTAAATAATTGATGAAGCTAAAGATAATATAGACTATCAAGGGCGACAACAAGACCTAAAAGCTCGTAGTGAAGAAAAACTAATTGAAAGATACAACCGCACAGACAACGTCAGAATAATTGGCAATCCCGGAAACCCCAATGTCGCTGATAACGGAAGAACGTATGAAAGCAATAAAGAAAGTATTGAGAAGGTCAGCAAAATAGCCACCGCAATATGAGCTAATGTTTCGGAATCTGACGTTCCAACTACCCACCAACTTCCTACGAGAAAGCATTATCCACGAATTATAATCGCTAGCTTCGCAAAAGGAATCAGCAGAGTCAATCTCTTAAGGAAAAACGAGACATTTTTTCAGTCTTCCACGATAAGACGTGAAAAAAAAAATTGAGGATTTGACTGCACCTAGAATCAAGTTCCTCTATTTGCTGAGAATCTATGCCTAAGTAGAATCTACATGGACGCACGAGGGATTCATTTACTTCAAATAAACAAACAATGAGGCGGTTCAATGTACAAGAGGTCTATATCAAGGAGGAACACAACTAGAGAATTCATTCAATGATGTTGAGAGTTGCTTCTATATACAATGAAATGATATCCTGAAGCCAACAAAAAAAAACTGTTAGTGCTGAAAATTATGTTGCTAACTGTTGGAAGGTACTAAATATCAATACCAGATCTACGAAAAAGCACCACGAAGAAGTAGAAGCGCTTATAGGCAGTCAAGTCAACACCTAACATAATAGCTCTAACTGAGGCATGGCTAAATGACACAGACAAAATAAATTGTTATAAAATTAGGAGATTTGAATCATTGATATCAAAAAGTAGAATCTCAACGATAGTAGGAGACAAAAATTGTGAAATGATCAAGGAATGAAATGCGAAATTTCGGAATGTGTAAGTATACAAGTTAGATTAATGAAAATAACTTATATTTCAGTAGTGATATAAAACCTTCCTAGGACTGACAAAATGTTTTTTATTGAACAATCCGACTCTCTCCTTGAACGTCTGTCACTACAATACACACGTGTCATTATAAGTGGCAATAAAAACATCGATATAATGCGTGATAGTCTAGCCAAATCAGAATACTAAGATGCCATAATTTCGAATGGATTTAAAAGTCTTAATCAGCAACCAACAAAATCACGGAAAGGGCAAAAACTTGCCTAGATCATTTTTTAATCAAAGATGTACCTCATCAAAACTACATCTTTTGTATAATCAAAGAGTTTTGAGTCATATTCCAGTTGAAATACAAATTTTCAGCAAGGATATAAAAAATGAAGGCACGGTCAGCTATAAAGACATATCATTCATCAAAAAAGATATTAAAAGTTCAGCAGTTCGATACGGAGCTCGAAAACAGGTGCAGTCATTGAATCCTCAGCATAATCATTTCGCAGAGTTTGAAGAAATATTCAGTCGAGTCTTTCATAAATTTGCCCCAATAATAACTGTGAAGTTTTTCTCTGTGCCAAAGATACAAACAAATGGGTTATGTTGCGTGACTCAAGAATTTGATAATGATATGTACAAGGTCTCTCAGTGATTAAAGGCAAATAAATTAAATCTAAGCTTTGAAAAATCAGTAGAATTTAATATAACAAAATAAAGCGCTTCTAGCATTCCAATTTTTACTGATAACTGGAAAATTACCGAAAACAAACCCTGCAAATATTGAGGATTAAAAGTAGGTTCCAAATTTAATCTTCTTAAGAACATCTAAACTGTTCATGCGAAGCTGCCTAGCCCATGCGGAATCCTTTCTAAAATTAGGCATAATGTTCCCCGAAGGCTGTTACTGCATTACTATGATACAAATGTTAATTGTATCATTCAATACGGTATCATCATTTATGGTTGTGAAAGCTACAATGCCTTTTTACCAATCCTTAAATTACAAAAGAAGACAATTCGCACCATATTTTTTAAATGAAAAATCAAGAAAGTGTTACATTTTTAATAGGCAAGGAAAGAGTTTTAACTGTTCATGAGCTATAGGTTTAGGAACTATTGAAGTTTATGTTTCGCTCTATGGCCGAACTGCATAAGAGTGATCATTTAAAATTTTATTTGAATTCATTGTATATAAACGAAATACCAGATCGTCGAAAGAAGGGCTTTCGAAAAGAACATTAGCCAGAACTTGAAGGCAAAAAGTTTCAAAAGAACACCGCGGATCTACGCTGTTCAATTTGTTACAAGAAAATAACTTGGTTCCTTTCGAGTTACAAAGCTTGAATGAAGCTCAGTTTTTTAAAAAAAAATACATCGCTTGAAAGATCTCTGTTTATGTTTACCACGTTTGTTTTTAATTGAAATCGATCTCAGTTGAACTCAATACAAAACCATATTGAGCTTTCACCAATTGTTGCATATCAATTAGTTTGGGTTCAATTTGTATCTTACAAACATATACATTTATAAAAACATTGAAGCCGCAAATTATTTTGAAGCTCAAAACGTTTTTATGGAAACATTTTTTCTCTCAATGGCCTTCTACCCAAGTATTGTAAGAAGAAGAAGAAGAAGATTTGAATATCAAATTGAAGCTCTTTGAGATTCAAAAGTTTTCATGATTGAAACTAACTTGAATTAAACAAGACTGCTCGTATCAGAGCGAAGCCCTGAATGTTCCGACTGCCTTTTAAGGTTTATGGAGCAGTAATAACATTTAAAAATTCAAGAAACAAAACAAAAATCAAAAAAAATTTTTTTAGAAAACTTGAAATTTTTTATGAAAATCATCCCCCCACACGCCATACAAAGTACAAAAGGATAGATTTCGCTCCTTGTAACAAACTAATTATGCCAAATAAGCTTCTTTTAACCAATTTGGAACGATTTCTAAGACGGATTAAATCTCCGCTTACGCGTTAATAGCGCGAAATATATCGCGCGTTAATTGTCCCAAATTTGCCAAAATGGCAATCTTTAAACCCCCGTAATTTTACGAAAAATGATCACAGGTGAAATATCTTTTCAAATTTGAGCTCAGGACAACAATACCTTTCGAATGATGTTAAAAATTCCGTCAAAAATGGCTAGTTAAAAAGTCGAAATTTGTCTGAAGAAAAAAAAACCCACCCCGAACACAAATTTTCCGTTACTTTCGTATCGAAAGTCGGAACAATAACTCAATTTGTTTGTTTCCCAGAATTCCTTGACGAACCTTCTCAGGTAGCAGAATAGTTTAATTGGGGCATTAAAAAAGTGAATGAACAGGTTTTAACTCAGTTCTTCCGCGCGCGCGCATCCTATCATCTGGCATACAAAACTAGCGCCACAAAACCAGCTATGCAAGTTTATTCCTTTTTATTAAGAGAGGCACGCTCCATGGTAGGAGCGAAGCTGCACTTAGCATACACAAACACAAACCTTAGCCAACAAACTCATTTAAAAGCGTTTTTTACTCGAGAAAGACAAAAGTAAAAACTTTCCTACTTACGAGTTGCATGGTAAAAACTAATTACCTTAAAGCTATTCACGTTTCAAGAAAGCTTATGACCGACAGTGCTTTGATTAAATTAACCTTATTTCAGAAAAAAAAATTTGACTGAAACATTAAAACCTATACTGGGGTGACGCTGCACCCAGTATACCGAAGCGAAAAAAGCGCAAGGAGCTCCTAAATCGAGGAAACCAAAATATGCTTTGGAAAAAAAACGAGATGACAAAAAAATTTGCGAATTTTACATGATTTGAAACCAAGGTATTCGGTTTCATGGTCGCGCATTTGACCAGTTTATCGGCAACCTCTTTTTGCACCACCTCATATACTTGACAAATTAATTACTGAAAGCAATTAATGAAAATTTACACAGAGGCGAAGTTGCACTTCGCATACACAAGCAAAAATATGACAGATAACGCTACTGGGAAAAACGGAATGAGTAAAACTTAACAAAATTTCTCAAGTGACTCACGCCGATTATGAATCTACATAATTGCTAAGTGACGCAGTTTACCAACTAACATGCTTCAATTTAAAGAGCGGACAAATTTTAACTAGTATACGAAAAAGTTCATTAAAAACATCCGACCCTGCCCAGGTTCGAACCCTCTTATTTTGTTATGGGTCTCCTTTCCTACCTCTACGGTACAGATCTATGATACTTTGAAGCTAAAGTGCTATTTGTAATATAATAGTCTGTTTTAATATCGAACAAAATTTGCAACTTAGGGATGGAAAAAAGAGAGTTCATACTACAACACCAGCTTTGCTTGTGTAAAAAACGTAGAATAAACACTAATCAGGGACAAATGTTTGAATCAATTTCAGTAATACTGTGCAGCCCACATAATTTGTTTTAGCCTGCAAGCAATAAAAAATCAATAGGGACAAAAAGAGAATGAAAAGAAGCCAAAATAAAATCAATAAAAGTACATTTTCTATATTATCTAATTTATTTACATAAACTGCATATTTCTTCAAGTGGGTTTTTAGAAATGTGTCCGCAGCTGAATATAGTAACTGTAAGTGAACCCTCAACTGCATTTATCAGTGCTTGTGATGATATTTGGACAGATGCAACTGGACTCTCAGTCTCTTTGGCTATTCGTTGTTTCCGTACATCGTCCTCGTGGAGTTCCCTATTAAACCAAATTCTATTATTTGGTTCCTTTTTTCCAACTTTCCAAGCTTGTTACAACGCTACTTGAAATCAAATTAGTAATAGATTGTGTTTTGTCAAACTTTGAGAAAGGAAATGGTGACTACAGTATTCAATCTCTTGAATGAAATTTTAGATTAAACCTGACAAATTTGGACAGCTCGTTGCTTTTCTTCATAGACCAGTTCTTGATGGAGCTGCCATGGTCCAATCCCTTGAGCACCTCGTGTCTGAGAGCGAAGGTGGACTCTATTGTGTTCAACAGGAACGAGGGAGACAGCAGCGAACAAATGTAGTCTGAGGAGACTTCTGGGATAAATTATACATTAGATTGTAAAGTAGTGATCGCGACAGCTTCTTAGATTAAGATTATTTTAAGGGATGCGTTCATTAAGCCGATGTTTCAGAATATAACCCGATCATGAAACCAAATTACGTAATTATTACTTCAATTGCGGAATCAATTTTTAACCTGAAAAGAAACGCCTATTTAAATTTTCATATTTTAGCTGCTCTCACTTGTACCCATTCATCCTTTTTGTTTGTTCCGACCATTGCAAATGGAGACGAATGGTGTTTTGGTTTTTCTTTTTGTGAATTTTAATCTTTTTAATCATCGGACTGGATTGAGTGATATATCACATTCATGCCCCTCATTCGTAATGCGAATGAAATAAAAAATTTCCAAATTTTTATCCGTGTCTAGAAAATTCTGTTTAAAATTTTTGGTTTTTCATCTAATTTCAAATGAGTAGCAACCGAGTAACGTCGTTTTCTGAAAAATTTAGGTTAAAAAACTTAATTTTACTAAAACAAAAACAATTTAGCGCTTACTAGTCAAAAACTTAGCTTAATTTAGCGATATCTAAATTAGACAAAAAAATTCCAAAAAAAATTGAAATATATGTTGATTTTTTTTCGTTTTTTGTTTATTCGTTTTTGGACAAAGGATGTCGATTATGGCTACTTCACTAACCTTCTACACGTTTGTATAGTTTTCTAGCAGAAAAAATTTTCTATAGTTTTTTATGAATATAGTCCGAATATTCTGTGCTACTTGCACAGCAACCGGTTACCCTTGTTTTAGTATAGCATAGTCCAAATAAAGATTTTTGCCATAAAGTTGAATGTTGGTTTTATATTAGTAATGATATACTTTTTTCGATTAATCTTACAAATACCTCTGCCAGAATCAGTTTCCTCTGCTTCTGATTGGCTAATATTGATGTTGTCTTTCTGCTCCACCAGCATGTGGAAAATAACTGCGTGGAAGGCGCCTGCAAACTCCAGTTTGTCCACGTCTAAAAAACAACTGATAAGCTTACGAATAAATCTTTCTCTTCTGTCAAAAACTTGTCTACTAAAACATCAATTCAACATCAATTTACGTTCAGTGTAAAATTTTGGCATATTGCTGCAAAAATTGATCTGAGAAGCGAAGAGTTGATTCCATAACACAATATTTTAGCTTCAATATTCCACCATTTTGCATTTTGATTTTATTTCAGTTTCATAGTGTATTGAAGCAAATAAACTACGCTTACAAGAGTTGAGCATGTCTTCCATTCTATCAGTGGGTATGTTCCACTTCTTGACAAAAGATAGAGCAGCAGTGAATAGTCCCCTCCACGCATTGAATCTGTCTTCTCTCATCAGTTCCGTCACGTTGTCCAGAGCAGTCTGAAAACCACTGTAGAACCCATCCACCACTTGCGCAGGCAATTTCGACTGAGAGGATGAGGAGACTGCTGTGTTGTTGTCAGTGATGGATTCAGAGTCAATCTCAGTTTCTAAAATCGGCGTTTAAAAAATGTCTCACAACTTTTTCCACTTCTCGATAATCATTAACACAAACAGATCAAAAACTTACTTTTGTCATGAAAACGTTGGTGACAATACATTTTTGTTGAATGATGTGCTTTACAATAACATCTCACATTCTCTTAATCATTTTTCGAAATGATCGTTTCCGAAACGCACTCCCTTTTAAAACGGACAAAGAAAACCGGTATTAAATAATTGATATTTCTCGCTCACCTAAATCATTCAGGTCGTATATGAAAGCTCGTACGTAATAGCCATGTAAAGCGCACAAATTCCGACAGAAAGCCCAAAAACTATGCTTGATTCCCATTCTTAGGACATCGCTGAACCGGTAGAAGTTCTTCAGGACGTCAATACTTCTGAAAATTGCATTGGTACCGAATCTCCAGCCATCAATCTCAACAACCTCTGCTAATTCTGGAAGAGCTGCTAGTCTAGTGAGAGGATTCGAATTTCCCCAATTAGTTTGAACAGTCGTAATCGACTCAATTGACCAATCGGCTCGCGAGATTGAGTTAGTCAAGAATGCGTGGTCTGTTTTGGGTAATGGCATAGGTGGTTGAACATCGGCTTCGTCTCGTTTCGTGAAGTCGTCACAAGGGATCTCTGAGATGACAGCGGGATCCGAGATACAAAAGAACCCGTTGTGCAGCTCTTCAACAGAATCTCCATTAGGTTCAACCACTCCTGAATGCACCTGAAAACGACTCAAATTTGATCTTATTAAGGGAGCCAAAAACTTCATCAATGTTAAAAAAAACTCGTCATTCAAAGCATAAGTTTTAGAGCGAAGTAAAAACAATACTGTAGGTGATTTGTAGTTTAAATGGGTTTTGTAGCTGTTCAGATCTGTTTGATTCACGAATGCAACAAGCAAAAATTGATCAAAAGTGGAAGTTCGATTAACTTATAACCTGTCAGAATAAGTTGATAATAGCTAAAACTATGTTAGAATGCAATATAATTAATTGCACTCTCTCACTCATTCCTAACTGTAATTATGCCTGAAAAATGGAAAAATTCAGACTAAATAAATATTTAAGTACTGACTTTTCCCCACAAGTAGCATTTGTTGTCCTCTCCGATTGCAATGGAAGTGTCTTTGAGAGCGGTGATGTATTTGCAGAGGGGCACATTACGTAATTGTGAGAATGACTCATTGACCACTGCTGAACTGGGCAAGGCTAGTTGGCAGCTCTCATTTCGACCACATCCAAACACCTGGCCAGATTCAAGTATGCAGAGGATGTGACAGTTTCCTGTAATAATCAAATAGCTCGCACTACATATGTAATTATTGGTGGTCATGGTTTTGGTTTCTAAGCCACGACGTAATACAATTCGAGTCTTTTGTTTGTATTTCGAATTAGGCTAAAAGCATTCAACCACAAAAAAACACCATCATTAGCCCCTCTTTACAAACTACATTTGGTTTTTTCTTTTCCGATTTTATGGAGTGTCTTGTCTGTTTGTAGTTTTAGACGAGAAACAGAACTGATTTAAATTATCCCGACGAACATTGGCAATTGTAAACGAGTTTTTTCTCAAATTGAGTTAAGATCAGACAAAAAGTGAACAGACAAAAATTGCTTAGATGGTGCATTTTATTTTGCGGAATTCGGAACCAAAATTATTTCTCAAAAATGGCCTTTTTGGCTTTTTAGTTAAACAAAAATAACGCTTGAATTACCGAGTTTTTTTGATAAGATCATTATATCAAATGAAGCTTCTTACAAAGCCCAACAAAGGTAAAATCTACAAAAACTTGCGTGAAACTTTTTAAATTTGTTTTTAAGCAAAGATAAGATTTGAGTTTAAATAGTAAAAATAACATTTATCTTATACAACTTTTTGAGATTTCATTTTTGCAGAGATTTACTGAGCTGTATAATAGACTTCATTTGATATATTTTGAGCAATTAGCTCAGTAGTTTGGCGCAACTCGGTAGTTGACTTATTTTTGAGGCACCATTTTGATTCCAAATTTTGCAAAAAAAATTCTTTGTAAAAACCCCGATTTGAGAACAGTGGATCAAAAGGTAACTTTTTTCAGTCCAGTTAAAATAAACTAAATATGAATCACAATTAATGTGTCATTTGCAATTTCATCATTGGAGAGCAAATGAGCCTTAATTGCACAAATTATTTTTGAGGCGAACTTAAAAGAAAACAATTTTCAAACCGCGAAAAATCAAAAAGGAAAAAAAAGTTTTCGATTCATTTATTGGCGCTTAAAGATATTATGACAAGCTAGCCGACAACAAATGACAGAAAAATTAGGTCGACAAAAATGTCAGATATGTTAGAAAAGGTATGTCGAACAAATAATTAAAATTTTCAAATGTTTCGGTTCCGATTACCAAGTTATTTGCAACAGTTTACTAGCTTTTCCCCAACATTTTCCTTTGCGGTTAGCAAGTGTGTTGCAATCGGGTACTAGCCTTTTTCCCGTAATTAATTTTTTCACAGGATGAGAGAATTTTGGTGGTCATCTCCAAATTGGTCCTTCCGTCAACAAACAGACAAATTTTTAAAATTTTGATTTTTAAAAGCCCGCTCATTTCAAATTTTTAGACTGGTTCTAAATTGATTAAATCCAGTTTAGAGGTATCAATTTCTTTTGTTTTCCGATTTCCAGAAAGTAAGGAATACATCAGGTTGAGGTGGTTTTATATTCATACCATTTTTGGCTACTTTGTGGGCTAGATCCCTAAAACTACGTAGCTCCTACCGTGCGCGCACACCACTATGTTACTGTGACTAGCTGTTCAATCTAAACCAAGTCTAACTAAACCTAAACTGCTAGTTTTTAACTTTGATGCATGCTGAAATTAACGCGAAATATTTACGTGTGGCGAATTATCCCGCGCTACAAAATCGTTCCAAAGTGAATTGAGGCGAGCTAATTGATCTTATTAATTTCATATATGACTGAATTTTCAACAATTAAAAATTGATATCATCAGCTAAAACCACCTAAAGGACAGTCGGAACATTCAGCTTAAGGGCTTTGCTCTGATACGAGCAGTCTTGTTTCTCTTTATTCGGCTTATAAAATATAGGCCAAATGGGCCTTATTTATGAGTCTTTTAATGGATACAAAAACTAATTCTTAATTTATTGAGGGGCTTGGAAACTTTCGTTAAGGTTCTTGTGAAAACATTTATTTTCTGGCTTAAAATAGATCAATTTTACGACACGTTTTCATAAAAAAAAAACATTTTTTTTGTTGCTGAGGCTTTTCATTCAAATTTTGTCGGCTAGTTAATCATGCTATGTTAAGTTTTTATAGCTAGTAATAAGAAGCTTTGCTTTGCTTGTGTGTCGCTATCTCTTGCAACAATTTCATTTTTCAAGAAAATATTCGAAGCGGTAACTAAGCCAACAACACTTGGGCAGACGCCATTGAGCCAGAAATATGTTTTTACAAAAACTTTGAGCAATGAAACTACACATACCAGAAATAAACTTTTCAGTCCATAAAACGACGCAATATGGGGCGACTAAGCCAAAATAATATGATCCCAAACCTTAAATATGAGGCGGCATAAAACGAAAGAGGAAACAAAAAAATGAAATTACAAAATAGCAGTAGGTAAATTGATCAAAAACATTTATAAAACAAGTATTTTAAATAAAACAAGCTGAAAATACGTCTCTGCTTGACAAAACCACGTGTTAATCAACGTGTTGCTAGAATGATTCAGTGATTCTGTTACAAAAGTTATTAATATGGAATAACAACTCTGTCCTGATTTGATAAGTCCTGCTAGTCGCTTGCTTGAAAAACTGATAATCGCAAACCAATTGATTATGAAAACAAATTGCTAGTCAAAAATTCGGTGACTTCCCTTATGATGAAGTGACCGAGTGTTCGAAATCGATCTTCAGTTAATTTCAGTCATCACAATTGAGTATTCAAAATCCTCAACAAAATCGCGGCAATCTTAAAAAAGCGAATAAATCCAGTCCATTAAATTAATTTTGATCGATCGGAAAATAAGCAGATAACAGGATTTTCAAATTTTGCGGAATCTAAGTCGGGTAGTGTGAAAACTTAAGCCGAAGTAAAAAAAATAAAAAACAAAACGAAAATTCACAGAAGATTTCGCGTAACATGTCCGATTACCTTAAAAAAACTTAAGGACTGTCAAAAAAAACGCACCTAGACTGAAGTCGACGACTGGGTCTTCCTGCAGATTAGCACTGATCACAATCTCTCTCGGAGCTTTAAAATACTCCTCCGAGTACAAAGTGTCTGGTTTCGTATTTGCATTGCCCCTTGAGCCCTTCACTCTCGAAATATAGATCTGCATCTTGTTCGGATCGCAGCCGAATTTAATAATTCTCCCGCTGCCTGTAGCTATTATGTTGACGAAACCCTTCGTCTGTAGCACTGATGCTGTTTCGTTGAAGAATTTGACAAGAAGTGGTTCGGTTGATTTGTTCAAGTTTCCGTCGAATATCCCTACAAAAACAAACAAGGATAGCCGGTTGCTGTGCTGGTAGCACAGTTGCTGTTCCCGGTTGCTGTGCCGACTTAACTAGAAGCCGGTTGCTGTGCCGACTTAACTAGTAGCCGGTTGCTGTTCCGACTTAACTGATTAAAATAAAACAAGAATTTTGTTATCTAAATTTTGAAAACTTGCAAATTTTGCTGTCTTAATTTTTTGTGACTTTTTTTTCTAAAAAGGGGCGATTGAATTAAGCAAAATGTTAAAAAGAGCGATATCTATTATGAAAATATGGTTAAAACTGTAAAAAGTTAACTTGGGATATCAGCCTCTCATCAAATTTCGTTTAATTTACATCTACCTATTGAGCGATACACATTATATGCTATCTCAGCTCAAAATTGTAACACAGAGGCGAAGCAGAGCTGACGTATTCAAACAAAAAAAAACCTTTAAACCCATGCAAAAGAAGCTCAACTCAGAAGCGAAGCCTCGAAATAGTAAAACTTTGCTACGTATCGGAATCATACCGGCAACCTCGAGATTTGGAGTCTTACGCCCTTGCCCTCGCAGCCACGGACGCTCAACTATCGCCCAAAACTGCTCACAAATAAAGCAGCTTCATTTGCTAAAAAATTGCCAATGCGATTCAGCAAAGGTGACAGCAAATACAAATAGACACAACTTTGCATGTTACAAATTGGAATATAACAAACTGAACTTAATAAATTGCAAAGCATAAAGCGAGATTATGCATCAATTATGCATTTAAAAAATTGCGAGATATATTGAGAAAAATTTCTGAAATCAAGTTTTTACGATTTTACTGTTGTTCGAAACAAATAACTTTTTCGGTTTATTCAATAAATTAAATTGCATCAACTGTGTTAACTTATTTCTAATCGAATGTTGATGAACATAAGCCGACAAACCATAGTGAGGCTATTCAATTTTGCAGGGGGGAAAATTTCAATTTAGACATTGAAAACAACAAGGTCCGGCCGGGTTTCGAAACCCTAACCATAGTTTGCAAAAGCAGCCACATTACCTCCATGTCAAGTGAGATGGGACCAGGAAGTTGCTAAGAATCGATAATAAGGCAACGTCAATTTCGGGAAAAAGTCTCGTTCCCGATTACAAGTCACTTGCTCTCGTAAGTGTAAAAAATATTAAATATGACTTGTTTGCCAAAAATCAATTCTGTCCAACTTAACGGACCTTGTGGTTAACAATTTTGATTTTCCCAATAACATACGAGATGCGAATTTGACAAAATCTAACCCAGTTGTCCGGCTCTATTGCTTCCCCATGCATACACATGCCCCATATCGGTCAACATGGTGCTGTGTGTTTTGCCCCCGTGGATACTAATCACTGTTGTATTCGGAGGCACTCGTGCCTCTTTGGGTTTGAAACAGTTGGTGTATGAACCCACTCCCAGTTGGCCATACACTCCCCAACCAAAACTGAACACCTTACGAGGACTTCGAGTACACACTAGGGTATGGTAGTCGCCACACGCTATCTGAAACGGTTAAGAATAAAAGCTCCCTTTATTGTTCCCTCCTGGATTAAATATTTCAGTTGATTTGCATGTAATTTTACTACTTTCTAAACAAAAAAACTTAAATAAAAATGCAACAAAAATAACTTCTGTAGTCATTGATGCTAAGTGATGATTAATCCCAATATCTTCCATTTTCGTTCAAAAACACCTGGTATTATAGATGAATTTTTAAAATACTAATTAACCTTGGTTTAAAATTCTTGTAACTAATCGTCGATTTATAAACACGGATCTGATCATGATTGGCTCTTACCAACACAGCCTTTTCCTGGTTGAACAGTGGTACAGCCATGGGCTTAGTGACGTCATCAAAGCCCTCTCCCAAACCCAGCTGACCGAACTTGTTCGAACCCCAAGAGTACACGCCATTTGAGGTCAGACACACGGTGTGCATATCTCCACAAGCGATTGACTTGACCTTAAAAAAGTAAGCTATGAGAACACCGTCTATGATTCCTACTTTTAAAAAAAAACAACGACCAGACAATTAAAAAAACATAGCACAGATAGCTGGAAAAAAGTCAATGAACGCAAGTGAACATTAAAAACACTTGTTTTTTGCAATATCTCAAATTTCGAATTTCAAAAGATGCCCTCAAAGCTCTTTGAATTTCTAGAACAACTTATGATTCACATTTTTGATCAAACTGTCCCAATTTGAGAAAACTGGATCAACCGGTAAAACTTTTATTTCGCTGGGAAATCTGATTATTAAAATCCATTTTCCGAAATAAGTAGTATAGTAAAAGGGCTAGGAAAATGACGACTTTTAACCCCCCCCCCCAAAATTCAGTGTGCCGTTGTACTTACCACTTTTAACCCCCAAAGGGGTTAAAGCCCCTACTTTTTCAGGCACGCATGTTTTAAGGGGGGTTAAAATTGGTAATTTTCCAGCCACTTTATGGAAACGGGAAAGGAATTAAGTTTTGGTTGGTGCATGTTTTCCCTTTGACTTTTACAGTTCAAACTTTACTGCGCGCGTTATATTGTGGATTATTTTGTAATCTTTATCGCCACGTGTGGAATTAAATAAAATGCTGTGATATTGGTAAGTTTATATTGTTGTTTTCAATACCCCCCTCCCCCTCACGATTAGAGTTGTTGATTATTTCACTTTTTGGTCAAAAGAACAATTTTGAAAAGCTTTATTTCCTGAATGAAAAGTAGTATAAAGCGAATCATTTACATTTATAATCAGAAGTTATTTAGTCAGAATCGTCTAATATAAAAGCACGTCGATTTAAGCACCGCCGTTTAGGTGGTCTAATTTCTTCCCGCTCGTTTTCTTCTCGAGCTTCAATGTCCAAATAGGGGCAGTTGTACGCTGCTGGTTCTGACTCATTTTGCCCACTTAGCTGGTCGAAATCTACCAAATCCTGTTCTAGCTGTTGATCAGTGTATGTGGGTTGGTTGAACCCCATATCTGGTGGAGTAAAAATATCCACATAATACCCGCCCTGCGCTTCTATATCTTCAGCCAAATCCTCCCCACTTCCGTTATCGGTGGGAGTGGGGACCACGGCGTCGTCGTCTACGTCGTATTCGCCCCAGTCCATGGTGCGCCCAATTTCTCTTATGAACATATCCTCACGCAAACGTTTATGTCCGAAAGGACTAGTAGTTACTCTGTCTGCATGTATATAGCGCTTATTGTCAAATGCGCTCAGGGAAATTTTATTCCTTATTATGGTTTGTAAAGTGTGATTGCAAGAATTTATCTTCACATTTTCTGACCGGACCAGCGAACAGTAAGTCAATGTTTGTTTAAATTTATTATGGGTTAGCTCCATTTTCGAATATTTAGAAATACCTTTCGCGCTTTTTTTGTCCATGTCTGAAACAAAAATACAATCAATTTACTTCAAATTTTTAACAGTTTTTTCTCTTTTCCACATAAAGACCTCCATTCCCCCCCCCAACCCTCACCACAATCTTATGATTTGTTTTTGTTGCCCTTTTCTAAAATGGTAATTGCAAAATGGTAAAAGAAAAGAAACTTACTCGAAGAAATAATGCTGTACAGTTTGGGTTTTAGTCCGACGTACTCCTGTATGATCTCCCCAGCAAACTCGTCCTTGAATTTCAGGGTAACGCGCAAATTCTCGTTGGTGTAGAGGGGGTGGGTGGCTGGTAGATTTGAAAAGTCAAAATGATTTCGCAGTTCATGGTTTTTCTCAATTTCATTGTAGAGATCTTTGCTGCGGATTTCATACAGGAACGAATCAGTGTCCGAATATAAAAGAGTAGCGTCAAAATTTTTCTTGATTATGTTTTAATGGAACTGGAACATGTAAAATTTTGCCATATCTAGTATCGTTGCACCAACAATTGTGGGCTTATCCCATTTAATGTTCACAGGTTTTGAGGTTACAGATACCAAGTGTTGGTCAATAATTTTTATACTGCTAAATCTTTTTTTCCTTGATAAATTTTGCAGTTCTTCAGCATTGCGAACAATATCTACAATAAGTCGATTCCTTTTTGATTCGCAGAATTTTCCAAACGCACTATTTATTATTTGCTTGAAGAAATCTTGTTCAAACTTGGTAGTAGCTTTTTTTCGGAGCTCAGTGTTCAACTGAACATATGGTGCAATAAATTTTTCTTGACTAAACTGCAGTACTCGATTAACTTTTTCAATTTTCAAACCAAATATGACATAGAGCTGAAGTGTTAGGTAGTGTACAGTATAGTTTTTCTTTGGAAAGAAGTTTTGTATGAGCTTTGGCGTAGTGCCCACTTTATCCGAAATGTTCATTTTTTTCAACATGTCCAATTGAAGCTCACTGAGCTACATTTTGGACACAACTTCTTTTGTTGGGGCGAGTGGGTAATCCGAATGTGCTTCATGCAAATGACCGGGGTATAAAAGATCGACGTCCAAAATGTATCCAATTTCGGATTCTCTGCTCGTGTTGAGAATTTCGGCTATAGTAACTTGGTCATTAAACTCGAATGAGTTAAGTGGAAGAGGAAATTTTTCCATAATCCTGCCATATAAATTGTTCGCGTCTATCATGAAGAGGAAAGTGTTAGGCTGTTTAGGGTCGTAATTTTTCACAAATTTATTGTTGGCGGAAACAAGTCTTTTTCAAACACACTTGCAATGCCCCCCCTGATCAGGTTTTCTGCCATATCCAAGTGCTCCCTATTAGTGAGCAAATGGAGGTCAGCCTTGCATGTTCGCAAAAATGCATCCCCTGAGAGATTGCTAACCGTGAAATATTGAGCACAATCTAGCTTATATGTTTCATAACACACTCGTCTAAACTCTTCAAAAACGCATGCAAGAATCAAGGTATCAGTTGTTAGATACAAATCGCTGTATTCGCCCAAAGTCTGACAACCGAAACGAGTGTACACTAACCATGCATGTTGGTATTCTTTTTCACTGACACTAACAACACCTCCTTGCAGCGTGTTGGTCCACTTGTCGCGTGCAGGTAGTCCATCTTCTGTGTATCTTGCATGGCTGTCAACATACAAGTAGGGGAAGTAACCTTTTTGTCGAATCAATGCTTTATCTTCTTCCGGTCGGGTAGCAAAGTGGTTATTGAGATATATGAACTTTTCCACGGGTAGATTTCGAGTTAGCTCATCGAGTGAGCTGTTCATAAATTTACAACTGTCCACAAAACGGATTTCTTCGTAGACATGTTGGACATTTCCTTTTTCGTTAGTGTAAGATCTAATCCACACTTTCATTGTAAGTGAAAGAAATTTTTCGTCATTGAGAGGAATGACCGAAAAGGTGTTTCTGGTATTGGTATCTTGCAGACTCTTCAGTACATGGTGCAAATCATAATTCTGGAGATTGTGGGCAAAGACAGGGGTGAATTGTATGGTACGTCTCAGGAAGTTGCATTTGTTGTGAGCCCATCCGAGGAATGATCCATCGAAATGATTATGGTCCAAAACTTTCGCGTTAGTTTCGGAGAATTCCTCTTCGCAAATCCAGCATTTGTCACTGTCTTCAAGAATAGTGGTGCTTCCGAGGTAGTTCGGGTATCGTCGTTTTTTATTATGAAAGTCACGCGCCAATACTTCCAGCATTCGAACGAATTTAGTCATGGCGTCCACTCCTCGATGAAGTGAAAAAAACGCCGGTTTCGGGTTTCCAGCTTCCACACCGACAAGGCAAAAACTGCTGGGCTTATGTTTTTCAATCACGGTTGTGCTCGAGCAGGTAGGATTATTTCTCACCGTCTCCACCTTCTCCAGCACAGACTCCAAATCAAAGTAAACCGCGAATGGGCTATAGCTTCGAGCACCGATGTTTTTGAAGCCTACGCTGCTCTTGTCAACATTTGGCATGGTAACGATTGCTGGTTCGTTCCCCATGCAGATTAACTGGTGGCGCTCAAGTCGTTCCTCAGATGAACACCGGTGGAAGCAATTTCGGCACAGCATGTTTCTCGATCTCAGTTTTCTTTTTTGCATTTTGCTCACTAGCTTGTTCAGGTCTTTTATCACGACGTAGTGATGCGTGCCCATATCGTTTAGAAGCAGCAAATCCACAACAAAATTAGTCTGATATTTTGACACTCTCAGGGGTAAAAGAGTCTTTTCATTGTACCTAGAGAAAAATTTTGAATGATATTTTTATACTAATTTTTAATGTCATCATAATAATAATTCTTCAACGAATGTGCAGCCAACCATTTGTTCTGATGTGCATAGATACAGCTTCACACCAATAAAAAAAAAAGATTTGATTAAAACTTCAACTAACCTGAAGACATTCACTTGCACTTCATTCAAAATTTCGAAGCGTGCAATAGCCGGTAGTCCCATTGGGTACACAAAATCACCAGTTGGCTCGTGCGCTCTTGAGTTTCTGCGATAATCATAGAAGCTCGCTTTCTCCTCCTCTCTACTCTGCATCGTACGAAGAGTGAGCGGGATATTGTTCTGCCGATGATACTCAGCAACGAAGCAGTACTCAAAGCATCGATCGTCTTCATAATTGCGAATATTCAACAAGAAGCGTTTGAGTTTCAGTAGATCGGCTGGTAGTGGCAAGTACGATGAACCCCTGATCGGTGCAGACTTCACCATTTTTAGGACAATCTTATCAATCCTGCGGATTCTCCAGCCACTACCATGAGACGCATATTGATGGACAGTAGACAATATTTGGTCTACGCAATCATAGAATTGGTCCTGGGTCCATCCTTGAACGTCTACAGCAAGCATTTTGCAATTGGCGAAGATGGTTATTACTTCTTCTGTGCCATCTGCCTTCTCTTTTTCAAGAGTTACTTCTGCCGACAATTGAGCTTTCTGAGGCTCATACATAGTATTTTGAAGTATCAGCTCTTCGATTTCGTCTCTCTTGGTCACGAATAGCGCTAGTAGGTCCACTTCCGTTTCCATCGGCACTATATCGTATGTCCTGACTGCTCCATCAAAAGCTGT